TGCCGTCGGGAGCCAACATGCCGCGCCGCCGCCTTTCATGCGATGCTCGACGACGCCCACACGCACCTCGAGACGCTCCTCGTGCGCACGAGCATCCTCGATGCGCCGATCGGACACCGACGCCTGAGCGTCCACGAGATCGACGACAGCATTCGCGTCTCGATGCAGAGCGTCGCGGACATTCCGAAGGACTTCGTCGCGTGCAGCGATGCGATCTGGTCGCGCTGGCATGGCCAGCTCACCGCGTCCTTGCCGCACGTCCGCATGGAGGTATCTTGAAAGCTTTCGAGAGACTGTCAAGCATGTGTGATAGCTGATCGAAGACTTTGGTGCGAGTGGCGTCTACGTGCAGCTGTCGTCGAGCTTGGACACGACGAGTCATGTACCCTGCGTGTACATCATGTATGCGATCAAACGCTTCATCTTCCAAGACCGGATCGTCTTTGTCCTCAAGACAGTGCTCGAAGACGAGATGCACCCACCGCCGCCCGGACAACTCGTTGGCAACCACAACGCGTGGTACGACTATAATAGACGCGTGCAACATGTGGCTGATAGATCGCCTAGTATCCTTGTGCAGGCGGCAGGCGCCAACCGCACGATCCGACGCATGGTCGTCGAAGGGAGATTGCCGGCGGAAGCGCCGCAGCAGAACCCGCTCTTCCACTCACCCGGTCGCATCAGCGACGCGGTACTCAAGCTGCTTCGGTCTGTGTTTGACGAACTGGAAGCCACACTGAGTTAGCAATCTCGGCGTATGCACATTTATAGAGGACGTTTACGGACGCATGGAGGGGCCGCGACAAAGTTCAGATTTTGCCCACTGGTAAATGTCATGTGCTTACTACTTTGAGGTGCAATAAGGTCTGCACTCGCGCCATAATGGCAACCTGGTAATGGGCGTGGACTCGGTACTTCCCGTCACAACGAAGGCCTCCTGCCCTCAGGTCGCGTGATTGCTTGCTCGGCCAAAATCGTCTCAACTGCCTGTGATTGGTCAGCTTAAGGGCAATGTGAAACGTCCAGCCAATCCGAGCGCGCACTTTCCAGCAGCGATCACACATGGAGGACGACGCGTCGGCGATGAACGACCTCCTCGATGCGGCGATCGTCAACAGCATCCTCGCGCCCACGCCCTCGTTGAGTGAGCCGATGCACTACCAGCAGCGCCAGAAGCTCGAGCTCGCGTACCTCCGGCAGCAAGCCGTCGACTTGAAGCTCCAGCTTGACGCGCTCACCAGCACCAAGGCGTTGGAGGTGCAGACCAGCAGCAACTACTGGGAAAAAGTTGCTCGCAACCAGAAACTCGCATCCGAGATGGCGACACTGGAGAATGCTCGCCTCAAACGGGTGATGGAAGACCAGCTTGTGCTGGCGTCAGCCCTCGAGAAAGTGCTGGCCAAGCGCCCGCGGCTCGCGGTATGCTCTCGCTGTAGCGACCGCCGACACCGAAGTATTTTGCTATTTGTATAGGCGACGCCGATGATGGACATGGCCGACTGGAAGCTGCGCCGCCTCCCAACAGATGCCAGCAGCCGCTCCACGGCCTTTCACGCGATCGTCGACGACGCGTATCATGCCCTCGAAACGATGTTTGTGCGAAGTGGCATCTGGGATGACCCGCCAGGGCACCGGTCATTGGGGGTGTCTGAAGACAACGACATGATTCTCGTGTCCATCAAGAGCGTGGTCAACGTCAATGGGCCGTTTCTAGAAATTGGCGACCGCTTCTGGTCGGTCTGGAATGCGTCAGGAACAACCACGCCGCAGCATTTGCGTCTCGAGGTTCGATGTCCATCTAGAGTCTGGTTTCTTACACCCTTGTAGATTGTAGAGCGGTTTGGTGAAAATGGTGTCTATGTTCGCATGAGCGTGAGCCTTGATGCGACGATGCCGTGCATGTATCTCATGTATGCGATCAAGCGCTACGTGCTTGGCGACCGCGTCATTATCGTGCAAAAAAGCGTTCTTGACGACGAGTTGCACCCCGTGCCCCCCGGTGTCCTTGTCGGTAACTACTCGGCGTGGTGCGAAACCTGTCATTTGAGTGTATATTCCATACTCAGACTTGTGATTATAGTATGGTGGCGCAAGCCATCGGTCCGAATTTAACATCGCGTCGCGTCTGCGTCCAGGGCAAACTGCCTGCCCAACCCCCGATGGAGAACCCTCTGCGCCACCAGAACCTTCGCGTGAGCGACGCGGTCCTGAAGATGGTCCGCCTCGTCTTCGATACGCTCGAGCAACTCTTTAGCTAAGCGTTCGATTGATGGATGTTTCCATGTTGCGTTGACATTTTAGGCTGGACGCATACAATTTAGTCATGGTATTGCGTCGAAAGAGCTGTGTCTGCGTCTGCTTTTGATACCCAAAGAGGCGTCCGACAGAACTGCGTCGCGGCAAGGGTATATAATAAATACATTTAATATATACACTTGGTCGCGGCGATGGCCAAACAAAGCTCCAGCGACCTGTAAATCCAGCCTCGTCAGAGGGATTGTTCCGTATCTCGCCCTGCGTCGTCCACATCGCTCGACGACAAGCGAAACGTTTGGCCCCCGTATCAACTACGTAGCAGCACGATTTGAGTGTGCGACGCCTTTCCTGCGTTATCGCCGACT